CCTGCGGGACCGAGACGGCGTTGTGACCCAGGGCCACGGACAGTGGGCCCCATCCGTGCCACCTCGGTGCGGGGGTGTTCCCGGCTGCCCCCCAAGTGTGGGTCCCCCGCACTCACTGCTGGTCGGGTCGGGCTTTGTAGCACAAAGTGTAGAGGGCCAGGTCGAACTCGGGGCTGGAGCCCACGAAGATGGAGCCGATGCTCTTGAGGTAGTTGCTCCAGCGGTACTGCAGGGCCAGGACGTCGGGGAAGGCAGTCCACTGCGGGCACAGGGACGCGCTGGGGGACGCTGGGGACGGCCACAGGGGGACGGGGACTCTGGGGAGGGTCACGGGGACACAGACTGGGGAGACGGTCACAAGGGGGAGATAGGATCCGCGGGGACAATCATGGGGCAACGGGGACCCTGGGGATGGACGTAGAGGAAGAGGGACCTTGGGGATGGCCATAGGGGGACACAGACGCTGGGAAGAGCCACGGGGGCATGATGAGGACCTGAGGAAGCCCATGGGTAGGATGGGGGCCCTGGGAACAAGTCAGGGGGCTGCCAGGACCCATGTCTCTCGGATGATGGGAACTGTCCCCTCCTGGGGGACCCCTGTCCCTGCACTCACAGGCCCGTCGTAGCTGTAGCTCAGGTAGTTGAGTTGTCCTGACTTCTCCAGCTCGTAGAGCTGGACCCAGCTGTGGCAGCCGGACACCTTCCCCTTCTTGATCTCCCCTGGGCAGAGAGCAGGGTGAGGGCAATGTGTGCCCAGGCTCTGTCCCCCATCCGCCTCCTATCCCCAGGTCCCCATCTTCCCCCATTCTCATCCTTGTGGGCTGTTCCCCACATCCCCCCGTTCTTCCCTTTCCCCCACGTCCTGTATCCCCCCGTCCCCTCGGCTCCGTCCTCCCCGCTCCCCGCGGTACCGTGGAAGACGTGCTCGAAGCCAGAGGAGTCGAGGGCCGTCCCACTGGAGCGCGAGTACAGCCCGAACCACATCTCCTTCAGGTCAGCCCGGAAAGCGTCCGCCGAGGGGTACAGGCCTGGGGGGACCGCACTGCCGTGGGGCCAGGCCGGGGGCACGGCCACCCCCAGCTCAGGTAATGCCAGCCCCTGCCGGATCCCATGGTACCCCCAGCGCCATTTCCCCGCTGTCCCCTGTCCCTGTTCCCTACCCTTGGAGAGGAAGAAGCGTGTGAGTGTGGCCATGACAGGCGTCTGGAAGACGGCCTCCAGGAAGGCCTCCTCCTCCTGCTCCTCCTTGGATGTCAGCGTCTCGCTGTGGCCCGTCATCTTGTCGTAGTTGTCCAGGAGGGCCAGGAAGCGGGCGAAGGTGGGCTTGGCAAAGAGCGTGGCCTCCGCCACGTATCTGAAGAGCCTGGGCCACGGGGAAGGCGAGGGAGGTGCGGCGACAGGAGCGGAGGCACCGGAGAAGGTTATTTGGGTGGGTGGACATGGGATGGATGGACAGATATGGGATATACACGGGATGGCTGGAAGATCAGCAGATGGATAAGGATGGAAGGACAGACAAGCAGACAACAGGATGGATGTGGGTGGACAGAGAGAGAGGCACAGACAGATGAGTATAGGAGGGATGAATCAATGTAGGGTGGATGGATGGATAGAGGATGGATGAAGAGACGAACAGGTAGGGTAGACAGACAGACGAGCGAATGGACAGACAGACGGACAGACACGGATGTCTGAAGGATAGACAGATAGCTGCGTGACTAGTTAGATGGACAGATGGGTGGACAAAGCAATGACTACCTGGATGGATAGATGGCTGGCCAAGAGGACAGACAGCCAGACGAGCGGAGGGACACAGGTGCCCAGGGACTTCCCCCATTCCTCACCTCTTCGAGGCATAGTCCTTGCCAGCGCTGGCCTCGGAGGCTGGGATCTTGTGTTGCAGGTCGAGGACGATCTCCCCGCTGGCGGCCCGGTTCCCGTCGGCGGCGTAGAGCTGCTCCGAGACGTCCCTGAGCTCGTCGTCAGAGATGGAGCGGAGGGCGAGGAGCTCGGCCCGCTCGCGCCCTGGGGAAGAGAGAGAAAGACGCGGGTTAAAAAAAAGGTGGCGGGAGCCAGAGGTCCGCCGGTCCCCCCGCCATGGTGCCCACCCCCGCCGCAGCCCGGCCAGCAGCGTTTATATCCCGGCTCTATCGCCGCAGATAATACCCGAAGGCCGGTAGCGGAGCACGTGGCTGCCCGGCCGAGCC